ATAAACTATGACTTTTATGTGGTGAACCACAAAAATACATTCGATTCTACATGTGAAGTGCAAACAGATACAAAGACATAAACACTGTATCTCACCTTACATTCACCAGGTCAGTTGGGGTCCCAATGAAACCACCTGTAAAACCTGATGAAGGAAAAACAACATCTTTAAATGCAATTTTAAGTATAAAATGAAACAACATCTTTAAATAAAATGTAAGCTATTTTCCACCATTTACCTCCAAAGGCACCCAGGAGGACTTTCTGGTGGAAAGGCATAGGACCTTTATTTTTCTCTTCATCTTATCCCTGACGGTCTCGTAAATGGCAAATCGTGACAAAGAATATGTCATCTGGACAAATGAATAAATAAAAACAGCTATGTCAAAGAGAGGAAGAGTGTGCGGCTGGTAAAGGTTTTATGGAAATGAGTGTTGTTTTTGACCTGCCGGCAGAGGGAAGCAGTGAGCCCGCTGTAGAGAGCCAGAAAACCCTCTCTTCTCACTACGTTAAGAGTCATCCCAATCATCCTCATCCTCACTTCCTGCTGTGTTTGCAAGTGGACCTGGAAGCAACCATAAGGAAGCAGCACTAAGAGTCAGTGGCACTTTTAGTGAGAATTGGCCTTAGATATATGTAAGGTTCCTGTCTTTAAAACCGTTAATATCTAGTCTGAAAATATATCTCACGCTCTAATATTACCAGCACCATTCAGTCCGCATCCTAAATTAAAGAAAACCAATGCAATAAGTGGATAATAGCTGCAAGAAATAAAAAACTGTGCCACTAAACATACACTACAAATGTTACTATCATTTAAAGCACCTTAAGGAATCAAAGCAAGCCTAATGATTGCCAATATAAAGGCAATTTGGCTGCATAATAGCCAAGTGAAATTCTAAGAAACTGCTAAAATGAATATTGCTACAACACATTATTCCAAATTTTATCATCAGCAAGTAAATAGAAAACCAAAATAGCCAAAATAGACACATCAGTGAGGCCTATCTGGATCTATTTTGTCTCTGCCGAATGGAAGGATTGTGCTCTGGTGTTAATTCAAATTCGATAAGCTCTATAATTTACCTTTATCAAATCCAGTGGATGGGTTACACAGGCTGCTGCACTGGACGAGACCCCACCAAAATACCAACGAGAGACACGGTTCTCCTGCATGCTGTCAGTGAGGCAAACTCTAGAGGGGGAAAAAACCAAAGGGTCGACTTCTCAGAGGCTCAAAGGACAACTTTGCCCGAGGGTGCTCCTTTCATCGTTTTTCCCCTCAGCACTTCTGGTGATGCGTGGCCACAATTCATCTTAAAAGTCGACGGGAGTCATCTCAATGTAAATCTGTATTTTTGTTTCTTTTGAAGCAGTGGACAGACAAATATAATGAGTGTCCCTCTGTACTTACTCCATGTTTGTGTGCCAAGAAGAAGAGGGGTGCAGCTGGTTCATGGGAGAAAGTGTACGTGACCAATATAAAAATAGTAAGCGGGCTTGACCGCTGCTGTAGTTTTGAAATTGTGGCCGACACACTGACATGGAGCAAAGGTCTCGAAGTTTAAACAAATATTTGTCAAGGATAGATTTGTCTAATTATAGCATTCAGACTTCAGGTCATAAGCACAAAAGGTTACAAGGTTACAACATTTTGAACAATGGGTCAGTGATGCACAGCAACATTATTTATTATTTTTATACTTTTCTGAAAGTTTCTACAGCTAATGCAACCGTCTGGGTTGTTGAACATGACATGATTTTAAATGAGTGCTATGAATGACCAGCCTGGCACAGCAGCACTTGGGCTGACTCAGAGGGGGGGCACTCATGACAGATGATACAAACAGCAACTGGATACCCACTCCAAGTTGGAGCAAAGGTAAGATGTGAGCAGACACAGGCAGGAATGGGTAATGACAGCTAGCAATAGTCAGAACTGAGATTTAGGTTTCTGTCTAATGCTTTAACATGAGTTGTTGTTGCTGGGCCTCTTTTAGGGAGCTGTTTGATCAGATTGGGGGTGGTTGCAATTTGGCCTACCGTCTGTGAAATAAATGAGATGGGCAAAACGATAACTGCAAGGTCCAGAATAAAAATGAAGTTGAATGAACAACAGGCTTAACCTTCATGGTTGATAGGATTTATTGCAGGCCTGCTCCATTATTTTCTGCTGGCTGTAGCTACACCGGTTGAGATTGCAATCAAGTCAGACTGCAGACATTAATCTACTGCACATGAATCCAAATCTTTAAGGGTACACTGAGATTAAATAACAAGAACCAACTAGGAGTTAGGTCTATATGGATGTTATATTGCGTTGATGCTGGATGTCTGCAGTTGGTGGACCGTAGGCTGACCTCAGTCACTTGAAGTGTAGGAGAGTGATATGCTGCTGCCCTCTGCTTTATGCTAAATTGCTGCATTAAATTGCATACAGCTGGATTTTGTTTTTATCATAAAGTGAGTTAAAATGAAACCTGCGACTGATTTGATGTGGTGACTTCCTTCAGCAGTCCAGGCCAGGCTTGCAATGCTATGACCCAGCCAGAAGCCATCATCACTAACACAGCAAAGTATCGTTTTCATTCTCCAGGACAATTTTCTACGACTCTCATCAGGACTAAAGGGTTTTCCCTCCTCACTGTAGGAAAACTGGATGACAAGCCATTTCTTTCACATGTTCTTCACAGAGTTTTTAATCACTTATGTTGCGTTGCTCTTTCTCATGTTTCATCTGTACACATCTGTCTTCATTCTTCCTGCTCTCCATCTGTGCTTTGCATTTGTTCTTGTGACAGATGTAAAAACAGACTGTATTCTCTCTAAGATTTAGATGTGTCACGATAGATTAAGTCCGAGTGTTGACATAAAAACTAAACATGTTAAATTATCAAAGCACTAAAATTTACATTTAGGTTTAACCTTAAAAAAAACTAAAAGCAAAACTCCGTCATGATTTGGCACACATACCTTCATCGGGGAATGAAACAGAGTTAATGAAATCACTCGATCCTTCTACTTGTGGTGTTTCACCATTAGGGATTTCCCATTAATTATATTCCCCCAATGATAAGCTTCTTCCACCCAGGATCAAAGTGGAATATTCCACCAGTGAAACGATATAAGAGCAATCTTCAACACCTGGACCGATACAGGAGCCCAAAAGGATCAATAAGCCCAGAATATTCACCAATCCAACAGGAGTGAAATACTCCACTGTTTATCCTCAGCACTCTTTGTGCTAAAAACACATCAGTTCCCAGGTCCTGAATCCTTCCTGATGCTTCAGTTACAAAAAATTGCTGAGACTACTTGATTAAAACAACTAGCCAACATATCTACTGGGAAAAAGCACTATAAAAAAACTGTTATATTAACATTATACTGCCATGATAGCAGGTATGAAATTGAGCCCCTTCAATGTTCTCTACATACTTCTTGACATGTATGTCCTTGCAACCTCTAGTGTCCATAAGTACAAAGCACCTGACTCCTCACCTTCTCCTATAACTATAATTAATCAGAAATTGTTTATATTCTTCAGGTTTTTCTTTTTACAGTCAGCAGTCTGCAGGTGATTTTGTGCAGGGTTAGCAGTTTATGTTCCTTATGTGAACCCCATTGAAGAGACAGATTCTCCAAGAGGAAAAGCAGTCCAACACTAGTTTTAAAATAACTGTGTATAATTTTTCTTCTTTACATGCTGACTTTTGCAGACAAAATAAGATTGTCTACCTACAGCAACTAAATGCATGTAGACATTAAATGGGCAGAATGAAAAGCAGATTTAAAGGACTTTGAAAGTGACATAGCTCGTAATGACAGCTGGGCTGGACCGAGTACTTAACTGCTGATCTGCTGGGGTTTTCTCACACGACCATCTCTAAGGTCTCTTCTGACATCTCAGTGTGAGATGTCAGAAGAGAATGAGTGTCTCCTTTCATCTGATAGGACAGCAACAATAATTTAAACAACCACTTGTTACAACCAAGGTATGCAGAAGAGCATCTGTGAACAAATCAGACCTTGATGCACATGGGTTACAGCAGCACAAGACCACACTGGTCGCCACTTATGCCAGCTAAGAGCAGGGAACTAAAAGTAGAGTTTGCACAGATTCATGAAAACCGTTTTTTGTTCCGAAGGCAAAAGGGGTTCAGAGGAAGGTATACCTAATTAAGTGTCCAGTTAGTGTAAATGGCGTAAATTACTTTCTCTCCAAATCATACATCATCACAGATACTGAAGCTTTTTTCCCTCTTTTAGGAAAACCTACTCATTTCTGTTCAATTCAACACTAAGGTTTACTCAGAAACAAAATGACATGCAAGTGCTGTTATCCAGCGTTATTAAGACCTCTGGTGGACAACCGCAGTAAAGCATTATCTAGTGAAATTCACTGTTCCACTATAAATGTTCAGTCAACACAGCACACATGAAAGCTTGATTACACTCATCAAGTTTTCCATAAATTCAGCCACACGACCAATAACACATAAGAGCAAAATAATTATTTCAACTTTAATCACATTATTAACATTTCAATGAGATTTATCTGGACTCAACCCTGCCATTCTCTGAACTACACACAGTATCTGGTGCTCCTCAACATCAGTCATCTGTATCAACCTGGAAACCACAAGATTTAACCTTGTGAGAAGATTAAACACAAAGAATTACAAAGTAATTTCAGCCTCTTTCAGACATGCGCTCCTTCCCATTGATCTGACAGCATCTTGGTGTGGTGATGGTTTCGTGTCCATCAGCACCCTGATCACGCCTCTGGACGCAATAAATTTCAACCGTAGCAACTATGCATGCATCTTTGGAGAGTTACTCAGCTCACAGGAGAATGCAATTAAAAGCAGAAACGTTTACATCGTTTCTAATTTGGAATATGATTCAAGCATTCTTCCTAATTCAGAAGAAAGCTTTTTAGAGCATGCATGTGGGGGGGTAGGGTACAGCTCTCTCTGCAACACCACGCAGCATATGCAGCTCTTTGTAACAATGACAGAGAGAGAAGTTCTCTCAGTCTGTCGCAGGAAGGTCAGATAGAAACCAGAGGAACATTAATGTGATCAATGACCGCCGATTGACACAATGCCATTACTGCAATGTTATTCATTACATGTCTGAAAAAGGCGTTACTCTGCATCCAACCAATCTCCTTAGCTTGTTTGTGACACGTGTATCAGACAAGCGAACCACCAAACAGTGCGGCGGCACATCTGCGAAGGCTGCGTGCTGGAGAGTTCAGTCTCAGCTGTGCCGTCCCGACCTGACGTTGTAAGGGGACGGCGTTAATGTCAGAAGGCATTTGTTTCCATTTCTCTTACGATCCACGTCTTTGTCGTACAAAAAAAAAAAAAAAAGGGAGGAAAGAAAACAAATAAAAAGAAATAAACTCAAGGATGAAGTGCATGAGTAGTAAAATGATGGCGAACAGTGGGCATAAGGGCAGACGAGATCTACTCCAACTCCACGGTGCCACCTGCTGCCTCCAGGGCTGCTTTTAATTTCTCTGCCTCTTCTTTGGATACGTTGGCCCGGATTTCCTGTGGAAGAGACTCCACTAGTTTCTTAGCCTGTTTCAAATAAAGAGGGCGGAGAAAAAAAAAAAAACAATTAGTGAAATTAACAAATTTGTGCTTTGAGAAGCTTTAACACTGCAGACAAAGCAAATTACACTATACACAATGTTTGCTTGTAGTTACTGCTCACAATAAAAAGAAAGAAATTAGGAACACTTGATCACCACAATACAACAAATTCATATCAATCTGTCAAGTTAGAAACTGTTGGGAATGCATTTCACCCACTTTGGTGCAAATAAAGGGACAACAGGTTCACTGCAAAGCCAACACCACAGACAACCTCTGTGAGCAAAGGACCCACTAAAAGACGTCAACCCATGCTACCCACGTGCCCTCTGACAGTTTGTTTAGAGGAATGCACATGACGAGCTTGCTGGAGGTCATGTAGTAGGACTGACAATTCTTTGCTCAGAGGAGCAGACACTGATGCCCTTGATATCCTTCTACAGCCCTGTTCAGCCTTCCTTGTGTAACAGCCCACCTGCATCACCTCACCACTCTTGAGAACATGCTGGGAGACATAGCAAACCTACTCATAACAGCACGAATGGATGTGTCATCCTGGATGAGCTGGACTGCATGTACTGTTTTATGCTACCAGCAGTGAGATTTTCATTTGCACCAAAGCAGCTGAAACTGATTCACAAAATAAATTGGACTGATTTTGCAGACTATTATGTAATAATATATGCATATTATTACCTCCAAAGCGTCATCTCATAAACATTTTATATCTCACATTCTAACACCGGCCCACTGCTTTTTGCCAAAAGCTACAATAAGCCCGCTTAAATAGCTCCAACAGTGAGACTTACCTGCACCAGATTCAAGCCCTGGATGCAGTTTTTCACTTCCTTTATAAGCTTTACTTTTTCAGCAGCTTTCAATTCTGTCAATTTTACTGTAAAGTGAGTCTTCTCCTTCTTTGCTGGTGCCACCTCCTCCTCTGCAGCCTAGTTGCAAAAGGAACACAATCGAGGTCATTTAACTGTGCGCACGGAGCCTCGTTGGCCACATCAACTATGAGTGGCTTTAAATTCTTAAGCTAGACATCTGAAAAAGAAGAATAATGATGTATGTTGCTACTTAAGCCATTAATGATTTATAAGGCAGTCTTCAGAACTTCCCTTTAAAAACAATTATCAATACCTGAGCTGCAGGAGCAGCTAATGTCGCCATCGCCCCCATCGGCATCATTCCGACACTCTCAATGTTCAGAGTTTTCTGTGTTAAAGACAAACAAGTTATCACTCAACATTTAACACAAACGGACAGCAAGAAGCTCAGACAAAGTGCACTGTGGTTTTAGGTTTCCCACAAACCTTGAGGAGTTCGTTGAGATCGGACACCTCTAACAAGGTGAGGCTGGCTATGTCACTGACAAGCTGCTGGATTTTGGGGGAATACTGTTTGGGGGCTCCATCTAGAGGAGGGGTGGCGATGGCATCTGAAGACGAGGCTGGACTGGTTTTCAGAAGTCTGAGAGCACATAAGGCTGGTGTCTGCCGTTGAAGCTGTTGCCTGGGAAAGTGAAAAGCGGTTAGCTAAACGGCAGACTGTATCCACATATTCAGTATGGTGTGGATCACACCTGGCATCATCCACTGCTTTACAAAACAATCCTTCTTACATTTAGAGTGCAGACTGCCTAACTTATGCATAATTAATGGTCTCAATTTGCAAACCACCAAATAACCCCTCAAGCTTCTCACTGTGTAAAGACAGTAGCTATTACTATGAGATGGGTTTGCTTTCTTATTTCACCTGGAGGACACTTTTATGCTTATTGCTTTGCAGTTTAACAGCTCAAACTAATTATGGTAATTTGGCAAGCAAAAACCCTGAAATTCCAGTTTTGCATCAGCAAATAATGCTATACAAAAACACCACACCACAAAGGATTTGGAAGGATTCTGCAGGTACTGGCTAGCTTTGGTTGGAGAGTCACGCATCCCTGGTAAGAATAGTAAGAAGAGATTTGTTGTATGTTATATGCGAGATGGCACAAATGGTAAATGGCCTGCATTTGTATAGCGCTTTACTCAGTCCCTAAGGACCCCAAAGCGCTTTACACTACATTCAGTCATTCACACACAGGCAACGGCAAGCTACATTGTAGCCGCAGCTGCCCTGGGGCGCACTGACAGAGGCGAGGCTGCCGGACACTGGCGCCACCGGACTGGTTGACATTATGGCAAGTACCTGTGAGCTAAGAAATCAACCATTATATTCTGGCAGTAAGGACAGATTTCAGGAATATTGTAGGTTTATTACAAAAGTACACTCTGCAACACGAATATCCAACTTGAAAACCTTTGGAACACGATCAAGTTTCATGTAAGCAGAATGTACAATAATAATATCAACTGAATTATAACCCTCACAGATGCAATTTATTTACCCGTTCTGTGTTACACCTTCCCTGTTGAGGTTACAATTGCATTATATAACAAAGGTTATATATCAGCTCAATCTTCTTTGTTACCCATCATCGTTTAGCAACCTCGCTATTCTATGAATGCAGGACTGTAATCAAAGAAAGTATGCAGACCTAGAAATGCACTGTGGAAGGGGGGCAGGAAGCTCAGTCCTGTTAGTAAAACTGACAGCACGGTGGTTCTTCATGCCTTCTCAAACATCTCAGACTTGGAATTTCACAATAACAGACGTGGACAGCTCAGCTGAGCAGTTGCTCTTCATTGATTGCATGGAGACCAGTTGGATGAGGGATGTGCAGACGATGCACTTATAGTGTCTGATGGTTACAACAAATTGTCAGGCATGTGGACAACCCACCCCCAAAGCTTCCCATTCTACTTGTGATTACAAAATTTAAGTCCCTTTACCCCCAAACAAACCCCTGGGTACTTGCAGGCAAAAAAAAAAAATTTAATAAATACAAAAATAAAAAAAATAGTTGTGCAAAGGGCAGTCAGCCTCCATGTAACCAGGGCGACACTGGAGGAAACTACAGCTTTGGCTGAGAGGTCCTGATAAGGATGAAGAGAGAGAAGCGCTCCAGGACAAGCCATGGTGGCTTACATCATAAAATCTCCAGCTGACAGTCTGGACATGTCTGTTTTAAGACACAACTGCCTCTTTTACACACATGGCATTGAAAGTCTCAAGACTCCCGAAAAACCCCAGTTAAAACTAGTCAGTTTTAACAGGGTAATGTAGCCTATCAAGCTATAAAAAATGTTTTAAAAAAAATCACCCAGAGTATTTTTACTACTGTCAAATACCAGAAAAGTCCCATTTGACCAGTGTAGGTAAGAAAAAAAAAAGGTCAAAGCCATGCTTCTCTTAGATTTTTTTTAAGACGAAGCCTGCGTTTTGTGTCATTAGTCGGACAGCAGGGCTCAATTGGTCACGTTGTTCAAGTTGAAGCCTGCGATGGAACCCTTAACGTCGGCTAACCTACTTAGCACACAGCCGCAAACCACTAAACTCATTTCTGTGCTCACACAACGCGCATCGTCTGTCTTTAGACGAATTAAAAAGACAACATCGTTGATATTGTTCTCCATCCAAATTAAGCGGCAGCAGTGGCCGGCTCTCTGCCCTTGAAGCCGCAGACACTCGGATACAGGTGTACTCCGCCTGTTACGTACCGATGCGTGCTGGCTGCGACTCGCAGCGCGGTGCGGAGGCAGCGGCTGGTGCAGAACATGCCGACGGTAAATGGAGCCGGTGGTCCTCTCTCTGAGAAACAGACAAATTTATCACACACACGTCTCCTTCCAGCGGATCCTCTGCCTCAAAAGCACATGGCGTCCCCTCTACTCCTGACCTACCCACAATGCATTGCGTGAACTGTTAAAAAACCTCAATTCAACTGCTACGGGAGCCCACAAGGGACAATGAATGTGCGTGAGAGAGCGACAGAAAGAAAGTAAGTTTGAAATAATAATAAGAATAATAATAATAAGAAGAAGAATAAGAAGAATAATAATAATAAGAATAATAATAATAATATGTCCAGTCTCATCTTTCCATCTCTAGCATTATCACTTCAATGACATGCAATGACTCATAGTGCTCCATTATCTGTTTTTCCATCCAGGTGTCTTTACTGCATTGGCAGTGTGGTTGGGATCATTCTAATGCTCAAAAATTAAGCTGTTACAGTCACATGCTTTCCAGGTGGAATTGCATAGTGGATCAACATCTGAAGGGATTTTGCTGTGTTCAGAATTCATCAGCTTTGACATTATCCACAACACCACTGGCTCAGATTCAGCCCGAAACCATGTCAGATCCAGATCCGAGGTCCTGTGTTTGGACTTTCTTAACAAGGCTTAACAAAAGAAAAGAAAAAAATAGTAAATGAGTGAAAAGTCAGAATTGGAGAATTATTGGTCAAGACCACTTTAAAAATGTAAAGTGGACTGGCTCCTTGCAAGCAAAGTAGAAAGAAATAAGAGGTGACTCAAGACTATAGCTGTCCTATTATTTGCTGTGCATGTGCATATGTCCTACCTGTAGTGTACCAATGCTGGGCACTTGGACACTGGGAAGGAGCATGAAGGAAATCCTCTTAACCAGGTAATCTCTCCACCCATCTGCTGCTACTGTCTTCCACCAACATGCCATTCCCTCCACTGGCCTTTATCGCCAGTGCAAATAAAAGGTAAGAAGCATCCGCTAAGAGAACAATGCAATGCATGGGAGTGCAATGCTAGATAAAAGAGGCACACATCTTTTCTTTTCTTTTCCCTTCAGGCCATGCTGCTGTCTCCTCAGGCTGAAAGGAACTGGGAGAGTGTTTGTTCAGTGCTCGAAGATGTGTTGGAGAGCCAGTCACACAGGCAGTTATTTGCTTTAGAGCTTGGTTCTGGAACTGGCCAGCATATCATACGGTTTGCTCAGAAGATGCCCTTTGTCATTTGGCAGCCATCAGACATCAAAGAGGATTCTCTAGAGAGGTTTGTGCCTTTCAGAAAGTGCTTGCCATGTTGACGTGTCAGTATAGTTATGTGTGAGAGAAAGATTTACGAACATATTCCAGTTAAATCAATGATCTATTTAAACAAGTGATTTGTTGAAGTCTATGGATTTGACATTAAATCTAAAATGAAGCTCGTACACACCTTGTTGGCAGTATCAAGGCATATATTGCTGCAACCCAAGCAAAGACGGTGCTACCACCTGTTCACCTGGATGCCAGTGATCCGTGGGAGAAATGGGCAGGACTGAGTCACAACTCCTGTGACGTTATTATTTCCATTAATTTACTGCAATACAGCTCCTTCAGAACAGCCCAGGTAGGCCTGGTTGCTTATAAATCAACTGAAGAGCTTGAGATATATCCCCACAGTATTTTATTTACTTATCATTTTCTCAGGGAGTGTTCAGTGGAGCAGGACAGATCCTCAAACAAAACGGCCTTTTGATAACATATGGGGTATGTAATGATAGTTAATTACACTACAAATAAACCTGAACCTACTAACTGATGTCAAATTAAAACATTTCACAGGTGTATGCTGTTAATGGCATCATCACACCAAGTTGTAATGAAAAGCTGGATGAGGAGCTACGAAAAATGTGAGTAGCAGCTATTTGGTAATATGTGTATGTGGTTGGCTGTTAGGATAAGATATGGACCATGTTTGGTTCTGCTGCATACAGGAATCCAGACTGGGGTCTTCCAGATATCGACGTGCTCAGACAGCTGGCCTATGGGAACGGGATGCGTATGGAGCGGATAGTAAGTCATGTATCTCGGCTTAGAGGCGATTCCACCTCCCAGCAGCATGTCTTTTACACTTGTAATGTTTCCTTCTTTTAGATTGAGATGGAAGAATACTACAAATGCCTCATCTTCAGAAAACTCTAAAGAAGCCAAAATACCAAAAGGACATTAAATTATTAGTTCACATCAGTTATGAGTGTAAGTCTATAGTCTTTATATTTGTAAGACAATTCTGCAATCTGATAATGGATATAGTTGAATAAAAGCTTTAAAAAAAAACAAAAAACCCTCCTCTGTGTGTGGTTACAAAATACAAGTCGAGGCACGTGGACAGTAAGAACCAGATATTTATTAAATATAATTTTAAAATTACTTCAAAGTCAGATCAGTATGTTGGAATAAAGAAGTTCACAGATGCCAACTGAAGAGTTACAGAAACCACTGATTGGGTGTGTGATACATACATGCAGCACATCATGTTTGCTCTGCAAGCTTTTCTTCACTTCTGGATACTCAAGCAGACTTTTGAAAGAGTGCCCACATGTACTCCCGATGCAGGCATCTGTATATGTGAAAATTACAACTAATAGAATGTAGGCTGGGACTCCTGGAGGAAACTTGCACTTTATTACAGGTTAAATTCATATGCTTCAATTTTGTGATGGCACTTGATGTTCGGCAACACCAGTCGCTTTAACAGAAGGGATGCAAGATGCTATTAGAACTGCTGGACTGCTTTTAGTATGAATATTTTTTTGTTACTAATTGTGGATTTTTAATGATTTAGTTAATTAAGTATAATTGATGAAGACAAAACAACCACCCAGCTAATTTTCTAAACAGTTTCCCGTAACGTGCTAATCCCTGCATCGTCTCTGAAACTATATTAACACACAGTTGAAGCAGCACACAACAAATAAATGCCCCCCCCCCCATTAAAAAAAGAAGACTCTAATTTGTAATTATGAGAAGGGATGATATGAAAACTACTGCCTATGCATTAGTGAGATTTTTTCCCAGGTGACTGACTGTGCTGTCACTCTTCAGACATACCAACAGCATCTTAAACAGTGAATACAGATGTTTCTCAGTCACTTCTTAAACTGTTAAAACACGTTGAAATAATTTGCTTCCATTCCAGAAAAGAACTGAAATTTCAACATGCAAATTTGGATTTAGAAAAATGTGAGACAAAGGATGGTTGCATCTTCTTCTCTCGCTCTCTCTTTTTTTTTTTTTTTTTTATCTCCTAAATGGTCATATTTTCTGTAACTTTAATACCACTGACTATTTCTGCTCTTCAGTTATTCATTTAATAAGGAGATACTACATACATATCAGCTGGAAAGGAGGAGGAAGAGGGTGAAGGTTCTTGGTTATGGCGCTTCCCATTGCAGCTTCACCCCTCCTGATTTTATACTTCAGCGGGGGAGAGGCAAGGAGAGCAACAGTTCTGCAACATCATCACAATATTTCACGTTGCCACAAAAATCACAGCGAGGTGGAAAGTGGGAATTATGTGTGTGTTTCCAGAGGGTATCCTCAGAGTCCAGAGAGGGAAGAAAGAGACCAAACAGGGAGAGGAGCTGTAGTGTGTTAGACCCAGCAGCGTGAGGCCCTTCAGTCGAAGGAGATGAGCTGTGCCTCTGCGCTGCCCGGCACGGCTTGAGGTGCCTGCTGCTGCGGCTGCTGCGGCTGTTGCTGCTGCTGCGGGGGCCACCAGGGGAGCAACCTAGCAGCATGAATGCACAAGTAAAAATAGGAAGATTAGCCAGGACTGACATTTAAATAACCTAAATAAAAATACCAAAGATAAAAATAAAGAAAGTTTTCATGCGTTAACTGTGAATGACAGTTGAACCAATTAACTTTTAGTCTGTCAGAAGCTTCAAATACATAAATATACAACTGACCTGCTGATACATGGGCTGCTGGCCTGGCATGTACTGCTGTTGGGGGGGCATATTGGGGTCCTGTCCCGGCAATGCTGAAATCATGTTCTGCATATTGTATGGCTGGTAACCATATAACCCATACCGTTAGTGGGGGGTGCCTGGGACATGGGGGGCATACTCTGCGCCTGAGAGGCCACATTCTGCACAAAACACAGAGAACAGTGAGATGCATTCATCTTTAAACGTTTTTGTGGCATTTCATGTATTAATCAGAAAATTTAAGTGGAGCTTTGTCAGACCTGGTAACCCTGCGTAGGTGTGGGCTGATAGGTGGAGTAGGGTGGACTAGTTGTGGGTGGAGCCTGACCAGGCGGAGGAGCGGGCTGCCCATTAGTTCCTGGAGGTGGGTACATGTATGCATTAACCATATTGGGATCTGAAAGAAAGGGGGGGAGGAAACACAAAACATTGTAGTGAACGATTAAGATTTTAGATCATATCGCTAATTGTAACACCAGATGACCAAAGTTGGTAGATTTCTTGTCTTTTCAGCTGATCCTTTTTCTTGTGAACCTCCTCACCTGTGGTAGGACCAGGCATAGCCTGGTACTGTGCTGGTGCAGTCTGCCCTGGCTGATTCATATAGATGTTGTGCATAGGTGAACCCTCCACAGAACCAGCGGGGCTGAAAGTGCCTGGGTAGCTGGGCGGAGCACCGGGTTGGTATACCACCCCTCCCGCGACATTGGGGGGCAAAGACTGCATCTACATAACAGCAAATAAAGACAGCATTAAAATTTCACCAAAAGATTACAATGAACTTAAAAAAGTTCAAAAACATAAAAAGTCTCCTGCTGAAATCTAAAAAAATGTTTCATTAGCTGAAATTTATTCTTTAGGTTCATACATTTCTGCTATTATTGAGACATTTGGTTTCTGCAATATCAAGTGAATTTACTGACTAGATTATCCTTGGGTTGAGTTCAGTCTGAGGCCAGATGGAGTATAAATGTGTACCTGGGCATAGGGAAGAGAGAAAGCAGGCATCTGGGCCCTCATCTGGATGGTGTGCTTCTGCTGCTCCAAACGCATCTGCCTCTCTTTCTCCTGCTCCTGGAGGCGCTGAATGGCCAACTGTCTTTGCATCTCCAGGTACTCCTGCGGTCCAAAGAAATACCTGTGAGCATGGTAATGGCCTATTATATCTGAACTCTCATTGAACAGATTCAGTTCAGTACCTGTTTCTTCTGCCTCATGATCTCCAGTTTTTGTGCCAGCTGGATCTGCCTCTGTCTTTCCGCTTCCTCTGCAGCGCGACGCAGTTTCTCTCTGTGTTCGTCCCGGAGTGCGTTGAGAGCGGCCCGAGCATCACGAACCTGAGCTAGCTTGTCCTGCAGCCCTTCATAATACACTGACAAGACACAGATCATCACAGTTCAGAGCCTGGACACGTGGAGAGAGAAATCTATAAACATGGACACAATTACACAAGGCCAACGCTTACATCGCTTCTCATCTAGCTGGTTGAGGATGTCCAAAAGCTGTGGGTGCATGTTGTTGATGGACTGGAAGAGTGAGAGCACGGCGCTGTCGTTAGTGATGCTTCGCCCACGCATGTGGTTGCTCTTCATGCGGTTCAGGAAGGTGGTGACAGCATTCTGCAGAGCCTTCAGAAACTGCTCATGGTTCTCCTCTGATTCGCCATTCTGGTACTGCTGCTGAAAGAGGGATGAACAGGGCAAACCATGAGCAGGGGCTCATTTGTGTTTAGCTTGATTTTGGTTTTTTAGAGCTCACAACTTCAGCATACCTCCACTATGTTGACAGGCTGGACAGGGACGTGACTTTCCACGGGCTGACTGATTGCCGGAAGTGGCTCAGCCAATGTCACAGGGGCAGGGGCTGAGGGGTGGGACTCTTGCGAGCCTCTTCCTGTTTTTTCTCCCAATATGTTCTGTTCAGGTAACGGGCCAGCTGGAATGATGTCATATTTCCTTATTAGCTTTAAAAGCACGGTGTAGCATTTCCATTAATCAGCAATACTGCTAACATTTGAGAAGAGCAATATACCACATGTACCTCAGGATCTACATCTTCAGCTGATGGAGCAGAGGAGTTCTGCAATGTGTTTCATAATAGTCAAAAAAGAATGCATTTTAAAATTTGCTTAACAATAATAAAAATCTTTCAAACATGCTTTTAAAATCATGAAAACATTTTTTGTAGAGTATAAGTGATTTTGCTGGAAACAGCCTTACCACAGGGGAAGTGTAGAGGGTACTGACTGGGGGAGCTGAGGAAGTCACTGGGGTGGGATCGGTTTTGGGATACATCGAGTACGAGTTCTTATGTCTCTGCAATTGAGCATTCAGCTGTGTGTCAGCTTTTATTCTATATACTAGCTGAAAACAAACACATCCATACCCAAAAATGAGCATTTCAGCTTAGCAACCCACCATTCGCTCCTTCTCCTCAGCCTCACTTTGAGAAAGAGCTATGGCCAGCTGCAGCTCCTCCTCCTCCTGCAGGGCAGCCTCATCTCTCTTGGGGGGCATCTGGTGAGAAAGAAGAGCAGGAGAAATATATAGCAGGAGAGTCCAACAGCGAAAGCTTGGCTGCAACTGGATCATCTAAATTACAACAAATCTACAATAGAATAGCTGAAAAAGAAAACACTAAAGGTTTCATAATGACCACAAATAAAGCCCAGACATTCAGCTTGATTGAAATGCTGTAGAATTACATTAAGAGAGCTCTGCCTGCAAATCTCAGTGAACCAAAGCAACACTGTAGGAAAGATTGGGACAAATTTCCTCCACAGCAATATGGGAATTAAAGTCAGCTAGAAAACACTGATTTCAAGTGATTGCTGGTAAAGGTGGTTCTTTAAGCTAATGAATGATGGGATGTACATGACTATTTATTTCCAGTGTGACAATTTTAGCAACTTTTTCCAAAAAGGCTAGAAAGCTGTCTAAAATGTAAAAAAACAACAACAATATAATAACTCGAAAATCATTTAAGTCCTATATTTAACAGGTAACAAAACAAAAACAAAAAAATCTAGAAAGACAGTGATTGATATAAAGAGTTTCAAATTATTACCTGTGACTGCTGGGACAGTGGGCTGGTCAGGTACTCAGGTGGCAGTTCAGCAGAGCCTGAGGAAGGGCTTTTCCTTCAGCTTTCCTAAGTGGAGGAGAGAGGGAGGGGTGGCTGCTAAGGAAGAGGGATCAGGGAGGACAAATAACCTTGTAAATCAGAGTTTCAAGCATGCTGCTTGAAACAACAGTAGCACTCCAAAGAGAGAACAATACAACAAAACATCATGGGAAACACTTTCAAGTTACTCCCATTTGGATTTCGGATCTCCATCCAAACACACACACTGACAAACAATGCTTCCAAGTATGGTACACACCTTTGTTTTTAGTTTGTCGTTCTTATTCACTAAAGTTCTGTTATTTTTGTGTTTAAGTATTTTTCCCCAGTTAACATACAGAAAGCTGCTACATTAGAGAAACAGTAAACAACAACCCTTATCATCAATACATCTGGCTCATCAGCTCTTTGTTCTGTGTATAAATAACAGGAAACAGTGAAGACGCATATCACGATTTCTTGAAGTCGAAGCTGAAATGTCCTAATGTCTGATTTATTACTTCTAGTTGATTACGTCGATTAAGCATCACGAGGCGGAGGGTGGGTGGTTCCCTATTTTTTTTTTTTTTTTTACTGGGAGCTGACAACCCTATTAGTTAGGTTGTTTAATATTTCTGCTAAGTACTCTTTAAAATACCAGAATAGGGAGGATCGTGTAGGTTCAGGTTTATTAGATTGATCAGTATTGCTGAACTATGAAATATTTTGGGTGCAGTGTATTTTTTGCATACAGGTATAACAGAATAGCTTTAGTGTTTTGTTTTTTTAAAACGTGAGTATGAACTTATACAAAATGCAGCAAGATATAAAAAAAAAACAACAACCTGTTTTATTGATTGAAAAATACACTATATCGGATTCATACCGGTATCGGCAGATATCCAAATTTATGATATCAGTATCGGACATAAAAAAAAGTGGCATCGTGCCATCTCTAATTACTTCAACATTATTTATTGTTGTATGTGCGATGATGTTCATACAAATTTTGTCCAGATTGCGCCCCCCCCCCAAATTGTGGAAGAGATAGTGAAAATACAGATATATATACACACACATACATATACTATCATCATTATAATAATATTATCATCATCATCAGAATGTCTGTTTTCTGCTGCAGGAAAAACGGCCTCAAACCACAACTGTTGATATGCTCACTTTGCTTTGTTGCAGCCGCCACATGCTCTTTTAAAGGATCCCACACACATACTCACTCATTCACTAGCTCACGTATGTGTACACACATACACATTAGCGCTACCTCAATCAAGAAATATAATACTGTCAGAACTTGTTTTATTGCTACTAATTTAAGAAAGTTTTATAATAAGGAAATAACATTTTAATTTATAAGGCATAAATTAAAATGTTATTTACAACATAAAACAAGGCGTTTTATGTTGTTTGCATAACTTATTTATAATACAGTATTATTTATTATTTTCTTTTGCACTTAAACATTTTTCTTAAGGAATGCTGTCCAATTCCTGTGTGATGTGGGATTCTAGGTGTTCTTTGCTGCTTTCAATCAGTGAAAGGTATGGAGTGCAGGCATATTCTTCAACTACTGTCTTGCAAAGCCTTCCCTGAAAAAGACGTCATTTGGCTAGGAGCGTATGTTGTTCTAAAAAACGTTCAGTGCCGATAATGCCTTTCCAGATGTGCAGGCTGCCAGGTCCCCAGTACCATCAAGAATGCAACTGACCACTGATAGCAAACCACCTCCTCTTCAGTCCAGAGGATATAATATTCATGTTTTCCAAAAAGAATTTCAAATTTCAATTCATCTGACAACAGAACACTTTTCCACTTTGCTTCAGTCCATTTTAAAAGCCAGCGCTTTTCTTACTTTCTTCTGATGCCAAAAGAAGGAAACTGAACTGCTTTCTGAGCTGTTCATTCTGATAGACATCAGTTAAAAACGTATTAAACAAGCTCTTGTTGACACTGTTTATTAATCATCTCCATTTTATTTTGAGCCTGGTTTTGTATTGCTATTAACTGTATTTTAATTTTCTATCATATTTCATTATAATTATTCTGTTTGCACAGCACTTTGTGACAACATGTCTTGTGAAAAGCCTTATAAACTTTACTTACTTACTAGACAGGCTCACAAACATAGTCTACATGTTTTCACAATCCATGTATTTCTTTTCTTTTTAGAAAAAAAACTTAACTACTCATGTTGCAGCATACTAAGTACTTCCTGATTTTAGCTTGACACGTCCAGCTAAAATCTTTCTGCATTGTCCTGTGAATTACCAGCTGCGAGTGAGACAATTTAACGACTGCTTGGAGCAGTTGACTACACAGCATGTTTCACCCAGTGTTACCAGCAGTCTTTCAGTATCAGCTGCCAAACATGTGCAAACATGCCTCAGAACACGTTACACAGTCGCAGACACCATTTGCATACGTTTACATAGTTTATTTTTAAAACCGGCATTATCTTCATATATCTACATACCATTTTTTCATTAGAAGTCTTTCCGTGTTTTTCTTTAATGGTATTTGTTCCAACTTCTCAAAACACACTCTCACTCATTAGTACATTTTCATCACTACCCTTAATCAACTTAACGTGCTGCACATCCTTTCCAGCTTTATCTTTTTGTCTAGGTAGTCGATAAAAATTATTTTCTCGTTCCTTAGCGCCCAGCCTCACATACAGCTCACTCTAAGCCTTTTCCACCTCTGCTGTACCCCTAACATCCTAGTACTCTTGTCTACTTTACTCATCTCCCCTACTATCCCACTTTTCTTTTGCTTCCCTCCTCCTTTGAATATTTTCCTGCACTTCCTCATTCCACCACACATCTATTTGCCCTCTTTCCTCTCTCCATAACACATTCTCTGCATTTTACCTCAGCACCACAGCTGCACATATTTAACCTATCATTTTTTACAAGTCATATCACAGCTACATATCATTTTTACCTTGAATAAAATCAATCACGTGTTCATTGTGTTTAATCTGTTGCACCCTAGATAATTGTGAGACATAAACACTTGTACTATCCAGGGCCACCATGTTACACACAGCCTGTTCTTCACACTAATTCTAACATTTTAATCACCACATCTGTGGACTCACTTGTTAAGCAGCTCGAAGCAGGGCTCGCACACACGCACTTCCTTCTCGATCCCAAACTTTGGAATAGTGGAGTACTTAGACGAACACTTGCCGCAGAAAATCTGACCACAGGCTCGACAGTGGTGCTGGGAAAGCACAGGACACAAAATGAGGTTGATTTCCACACATGCGCCGTGAGAAGGTACCGCATACACGCAGACACACACTCACACACTCACAGCATCAAATGAATGAAGGAAACCATAAAACCTCCAAGTGGCCTAGTTACAAGCAGGCCCGGCCTACCTTTCTTGTCATAACGCCAAACTGGACTCTGCACCGGTGGCACTCCTCAGCGTCAACCCAGTCAGGGGCCTAGATAAACAAAGCAGACATCACATTACTCAACTACTTCTCAATGTAAGGGGCACATGCCACAAAAACATAACTCTCTTCACACATCAGTAAAACAAGAAACACAAAATATCTTACTCTCTCAGCAGCAAACATGGCGTCACTCTCCTTGAACTCGGGGAAAACGTGACCTGCAGACAAACAAAAGCAGAAAATCTTTTTACAACAGCTACAAAAAAAAAAAAAAATCACAAAGAGGCAATAACTTCTAGCTGCTGATGTACCTTTTGACAATGAAATTTGAATCAATAAAATCAGTTTTTTATCATTACAAATCATCTGAACTGGTATCACCCAGTTTTAAGTGGCCTGTTAGAAAACATTTTCTGGGTCAGTAAGCTTTCAGAGATCCTTTGGTTTCATTTCAGATGTGAGCACTCGGCTCGTTCAAGCTTACCTTCCACTTTCATGATCTGATAGGTGTCTTGAACCACTTTATATTTGGGTTCATTGCGGAAGGCGTGAGCCCAGGCCTGGATCAGGTAAAGGATCTTGTTTCTGACATTTGGTTCCGTCTGTTTCTGGAAGTCAAGGAATTTACACACAATTAAAGCAAAAAGGTCTACTTTCCCTGTTTCTGAATTCTACTGTCAAATAACACACTGAATTCATCAACACTGTGAGGTGGGAAGTCCCTTGTTTTCATCTGAAAAAAAAAAAAAAAAAAGACTCCTGTCACAAGGCAATGACATCACCAGGAAGTTGAAACCAGCATGAGGTATACAGCCTGTGTCACATGATACAGTTAGGATCCAATCAAATATTGCTAGCTCATGCTGTAATCCAGTCAGCTGAAAGAGTGAGCAGTCATAGGAGAGGGGGAAAGCTTATGAAGCCTCCAGCCAAAATATATAATTGAAGCACTGTAAAGACGCTAAACCTGTTTTTTTAAAAAGTTCATTTAGTATCAACTACTTTAATATCAGACCACTGTGTGGCTGCTCACTTTAACATCACTCTAACATGTACACCTTTGGGAATCTGGAGCCTGTGTTTGAATAAAGGTTTGAATAAAGACTAAAACTCTTCATTGATTAAGCCAAAGCAACCACTCCGCCTGACCTCTGCCAACAAATTAAGCTTCACAGTAAGAAGACAACACAGGCCATCTCTGAATGGCATTGAAAAGAGTGTGGTGGGAACTGAGCAGACAGGGAGTAGATAAAATGAATGTCACCTTAAGTAGCTCCTTCAGTTCCTCCATGGTTTGCTTACTCGCCACCTCATCGTGCACAGTCTGGCCACAGTTCTTCACCACTGACTCCAAGACCTGAAGGGTGAGGCTGCATTATTCTCAACAACCCAACGCAAAAGATGCCAAGTCTACTATTGCCCACAGTTAGGTGACAAAGCAAGAGAACACACCAACCAAAGCAAAAATCAAACTATGTTTACAGGCAACAGAGATTTTGTATTTTTGATTGTATACTTTCCACACGTCTTACCTCAAGTGCATAAATCGCCACGTGTGGATTTTTGTCATTCAGCTTCTTTTTAATGGCCCCAATGGCATATTTAGCTCTGCAAGGACAAAAACACAGATATCGCTTAATGCAGAATCATTGGCATAAATTCAATAAGCAAACTCTCAAGTATGTTTATTTCAAAAACATTGAAGACAATAGTCGAAGCTGTATTAAATCTTCAGCTGCTGGAGGATGTGACTGTAGAGGGGAAGAAGACAGAATCACTCACTGTGTGTCTCCCTGTCGAATGAGATCACAGATCTGCAGGATGGATTCCCAGTCAGTCTCCAGAAGCAGTTGACTGGTGGCTTTATCTGCATGAGTACAGAAAGCTTTAACATGCATGTCTGTCAAATGGCATCTACAACAGCAGCTCCACAAAACTGCACCGGCAGTTACACATGAACAAACGCTTCTTCCACATGCTTTAATCTTTATAGAAACATCTGTACTCCTGCTATTAACGTAGGACTCCAGATCGATCTTTGTATGATATCAAACTATTACCACACAAAAGGTTTGAGGTGTCAAACCTTAATGATATAATAGAGATCTACTTATTTATTATATCATCATCAGCAGGGATAACTAAAAATATTTTATTGCTACAGATGCTTCCGTGAGTTCAGCTGTCAGAAAGAAAATAGCCTTGCATATGATTCAGGTGTGCCAAAGCGCTGCAGTCCTGGGTCTGACATTTGTTATGCCCTGCGGAACTGTGGGGAAAACAGGAAAGCACTGATAGCACGAAGTGATAATCCTGTTTGGCATATGATTGCGATGCATTTAGTAGATGAAACCTGGTCTTGATTTGCATTTCTAAATACAAGTGGAACCTAATCCAACTTTCAGCACAACAAACGACCTGTTTGCAAATCATAAAATAAAAAAAACTGCCCCAATTTTTAGGAACCAAATATCATCTTATTACATGTCAAACTGAAGGATGTGTGCTGTGAATTCAGCAATCACCCACACATAATGGTGGTTTAATTGAGTTAAATATATTTAAAAAGATTAAATGTTTTAAATACACATGACATCTGCTATAAAACTGCGAATCTGATCATAGGTTTAGAGGTGTGCATTACTCAGTTCAGACTTTTTTTTATTTTTTTATCTGCTTCTATACTTTGAACGTCAGGTAAAATTTATGCTTCAACAACAACAATGATTCTGACTACAGGCAGGGGGTAAACAACTGCAGAGGTGGTGCAGGTGTAGTATCTCTGCATCAAGTTCAAGAAAAAAAAAGGAGATGAGTGTGCTTTTTAGAAGGGACAAAGACTAGCTTCTGCCCCTGCAAATCAGTAGAACAACTGTGGAAGTGGTCACCAGCTTTAGTGTACATCTCACTGAAAACCCTATCTGGTGTCACAACATTTCCGTCCTGGTTAAGACACCAACACTTCCACTTTTTCAGGAGGTTGCAGTACGAGGAACTTGTTAGCTCAGTCTTAAACCTATTCTGCAGATTTGTGGGGAAAGAGTGTCCTGAGGACGGCAGAGAAAACGCCTCTGCTGAGGACCTCCCCATCACTACAGACATTTACGCCAGCAGATACAGGAAAAGGGCCTCCTCTATCTTGAAAGACCCCACTCACCAAGCACATGCAGTGTTTGTTCCCCTCCCCTCAGGCAGGAGGCCACAGAGTATCAAGAGCAGAACCACCATGCTTTTAGACTGCTTCTGTGTCTACTTCTCCTAGCCAATCGTAACAAAGACACCAATTGTGCATTTGCAATATCCTCCATACCCTTAAAAAATGATTATTCATTCTCTATGACACTGTAAATATGTTTTCTCTTCCTTGTTTCTGTATATTGTTCTCTTGTGTGTTCTCATTGTTGCTGGCGTTAAACAGGGACCTGAGTGCTAAATTTAGTTTCAACTCATGTGAATACACACGTTTGAAATGGAATAAAAACCCTTGAATCCTTGAGAAAACAAGTTGGGACTGCAACGATAAGTTCGGCAGGAATTATATTTAATGGATTCAAATTCTGAAACCATTTCCATCACTGGTAAGAAGAATCAAACACACGATTTATAACCTATTTGATGGTTTTAATACAAACACTTTGATATTTAGGCCTCAAATATCAAATTATTACTGGTTACATTGGCAGAGTAGGCAAAACTCTCCAGCTGAACTAAAGAGACCTAAAATGTCTGAAAATTGTTTAATAGTAATCAATATGCACAGCTGCGTATTCATTTGACACTTCACAAAATAATTTGACATTTACTGGGTGTATACATTTTTCATCCAGGTTCGCTAGTTAACCTGCTCATCTTTGTAGCCCAAGAAACTTGTTGTTGCATAACTGGAAATTCACTTGGGACTCGTTTTAAACCAAGGTAACTGTTGAAACATGCTATGACAGAGACGCCTTGTTTTCTATGATTAGTCATGGAGTAAAAGCAACTATTAGCCATCTGACGTTAGCGTAGGTCTATACGTGCATCACAAAGTATCCCAGTCGCTAATTATAGACATGTGTCAGCGAACTAATCAACCTGTTGTGGTCTTTAAAAAAAAAACTCAGGACAACAGAGCGCCTCACGAATACCAGCGTTGTGTTTGTCTGCCTGGTTTCCTTGGATATGGGGTAGTTAATGTGTGAAGTAACAGCTAATCGTATATTACCGTGTATGAAACGCACAGGAACACAACAACAGCTTTGGTTAGCTTAACTAAAAGCAAGGCGATAACACTGGACCAGACTTTGAGTTAAAACTGTTCGCTTCAGCTAACTTCTTAGCATTTCTTGGCCTTCGAACAATAGCAGCGAATTTGTTAGCAGGCTAGGAAAAAAAAGCTAGCTGGCCTGGGAGCCACAGCCCGATCGACTGTCAAAACAATACGCTGGAAAACATCGCACTCTGCCTTATAGTTGCTTATTTTACTCTCAACTTACGCATGTGCTGTTAACTTACCGAGAAGCCTTTCAAATGTGCCTCCACCTTTTCCCATGTTAAAGTCAGAGTCTCAGAGTGGCTGTCGAGATGACTTATTTAATTAGCGGATCCCGATACTTTCACAACGGAGGTTAGCTGTTAGCCACGGAGCACAGCTGTACAGCAGGTACAGCCTCCTCTGACTTCCCACTTCCGTCGCAGAAACAGCGACACACATGAAATGTCTCCCTCTCGCGGCGAGTATGCGCAATTACGGGTGCATTTTATTATTATTTTTAATTTATTGAATTTATTTATTGATTTATTGATTGATTTATTGTTAAGCGAAACCTTGACATGATGATTGCCGCTTTAGAAATCTAAATAAAAATATGCATTATCAGCAAGTCATTGATAAGATGTGTGGTAGGAGTGACAGATTGGTTTAAGGTGAGGGTGGAATTACAGTAGAGACTGGTTCTGAGGCAATACTGACAGGGCAGCTCATGTTGAGCAGTTTATAGACAAGGCTGACATGATTTAGACACGTGCAGAGGACCGATAGTGGCTATATAAGACAAAGGATACTGAATATGGAGATGCTAGGCAGAGGGAAAAGAGAAGATTCTTCGCTAAAGAAAGCAGCCAAAAGAACAAGAAGAACTAGAAAGTGCATTTTCTGAAGAAACTGCAATGTGAATGCTTGAATCTGAATGTATGCACTGAAATGAATTAATTGCTGAATTTTGAGTTAAAAATGTTGAATGATAAAAAAAAAAACCCCGAATTTAACATGAAAACAAAAGTGCTGAACTGCTAAAAGCTGAAGGTTACACAGAAGAAGAAGTTGGAAAAAAGCTGAAAATGTTTTAATTGTAAATTAGAAAAATCTAAGAAATGAGAAAAGAAACTTTAGAGTCAGAAAACACCTGAATGAATATTAAAAGTTCATATTCTTTGAATCACTGAATGACTAAAATGTGAGCCCTCCACTTGGATCCACACAGTTTTAAAGGTTTACATCTCTGAGCTTTTGAAAGACACGGTGTTGGAAAGAGAAGAACGATGGATACGTTTTGAGGGTAAAATGATGGCTGTAGAGCAAACACTGTGGACACAGCAGCAGTTGAAAGAGAAGTGTTTAAGATGAATCTTGGCAGAGTGAGAGAGAGCTCGTTAAGCAGGCAGGTGTGAGCCTGGTTGCTATAGTGACTGCACCCAATGGCTCCATACACGGACACAGACATGCGCCTCACTTTTGCTGCTTAAAATGAACAGAAAAGTCAGCCCCAAACAAATCGCTCCCAAATGAAAAGTACAAGTCGTATTGACGAAATTCTTTCACCGTGAGCGACAGCAATGTCTAGTCTACTGAATTCTCAGTTTTCATGCCTGTGGAGTATATTATATGGACGTGGTGACAGTGTAAAGATACCCTGTACTTCTGATTTTCAAACGAACCTTCTGAGCCATTTTAACATTAGAGTCTATGGAAGAGTTGGAGGGAGGAGGCTGTGCATTGGTGACATTTATAAAAGAACCATAACACCTAGTACAATAGTAAACACATTGGATGAAAGAGGACAGCGATGGCTACGTTTTGAGGGTAAAATCATACCTGTACAGTAAACGCTGTGGACACAGCAGCAGTTTTAAAAAAGATTTTAAGATTAATTTTTTTGCTCCTCTCACTCTAGCAGTTGAGCTGTCTCACTCTAGCCCCAACATTCCGTCCCATACACACCCATTATAAACTCTGAAACGGGTGAAAAGACATCATGAAACTTAAACTGGAACTGAAGAAAAAGTATAATAGATATTGAAAAGATAAATACAAGTTGGATAGTTGAACGTCTTGTCTTCGTTTTAAAGTTTGAATGGTGGCTCTACGTCAATGTATGTGGAAGTAGATACAGTTTAAAGAAGAGTAAGTTGAATGAGAATTTGAAGCGTCTCTCCATTGAAATACATGGGAAATTTTGTTGAAAAAGTTGAATAATTTTAAAAATATAAATGTTAAAATGAGAAAAATAGAAGCAGTCATGTCCAAAAGAAGAGGAATCTAACGGTGTTTGAATGGTTTTTCTAAGTTGAACGGTTTTGAAGGAGATAGAGTACAAAAAACGTACGGAATAGATAATAAAATAGTTTAAAGATTAGAAGAACAATACTGTGAATGCTTTTCAAGCATTCACACTAATTATGCTCTTTGATAAAGCAAATTGAACTTTCATAAGTGTAAAGTGATGTGTATTAGTTGGTGCTCAAGGCACAATAACATCCAAAAATGTAATTAAACACCCATGGCAGTTTTGATTTTCATGATCATCTTTCTGCACTCCAGGACATTTTGACATGCAGTAAATCACTTAAAAGCATGATCAAAATCCTTCAGTTTTATGTAACGGTCTAACACAGACAAACAGTGAGTTATTTCTTGATACCTTCTATCTGAGTAAGAGTTTGCATGTAGGAATCTGACTTTGGCAGCAGGGTGATGATGATGATGTGATGATCACAGCAGCAACATCTTGGGTTCAAATCCACAGGCCAACTGGGGCCTTCCTATGTGGAACTGGTGACCTGTCCAGAGTGCACCTAAGACAGATGGGCTCCAGCCAGCCAGAACTTGAATCGAATAAATGGAGGAACGATGAATAGAATCTGACTTTAAGAAAGTGGTTTTAAATTATGTTAAAACTTGAACATACATATGCGATTATGAAAATATCTTTAGGAAAAACGTTTCTTTTTTCTTCAATTCATTAGGCTACATTTATTTTAAGGTTATGTTGACTTTGGAAACAACCAAATCCCAATATCATTTTTGTTTGTTTGTCTTTATTTCACATTTTCTGCACATGTACCCTTGATTTTTACAGCCTAAGGAAAGAGAAAAGAACTATACCCCACTTCACACATACTACAGCACTCACACCAAAAGACTTCACAGACAATTATCAGTGTTTGTATTTACTCAGGGAACTCTAGAGCTCTAGAAAGCAGATCTGAGATGAACTGGACACACATCAGTGTTGCCCAAAGTCTCAAATGCATCAGTGGCGTGTGCAGTTATCGCCTCCTTGTAAATGATACACTCATTAATTCACTTTCATGTAATCAACTTCTGTGTTAACTCTTTGTTACTGTCATTGTTAAGAACTGCATTGACACCATACCTCGAAGCCACTTTGAAGCACTCCATTCATTATTTACAATGTAACTAGTGCACTCGTCTCCCTCTGTTGTCTTCTTTGTAAGCATACAGTAAAATGCCACAGACTTACAGTATTCACATCATTACTCTACCAGCACTGGTAAAGGCCTACTTAGGTCATGTGTGAGTCACTACCTGGCACTTGGAACACTAGTGGCTATTGTTATTGTGGTGCTGTAATGCTCTATAGAGTGGCATTGTGTTGCTCTGTCTTCTGCTGTCACAGACAGAAAGCAAAGGAACTGATAGATTAATGCATGCCCGCACAACTACGATTATATTTACAGTCACCTACAGTGCAATCAATCAGGTTTAAGAACAAGGATAATATCTCATGAATAAAGATGGTGCTTGGAATTGTACTACATGAACACATGCAAAGACAGATAGTGATTCAGGCTCAATCTGGTTTTTGCTTGTTATCATACAGTTATCTGCTGGAGCAATGTGTGATTTTATTAGAAGAAATAGCAGGATCTTTATGAAGTGAAAAAAGGATCATGTATTTTTCTTTGTTCCCGCCGTATAGAGTAACTCAGATAAGGAAAATGAGATGGAAGACAGGACAACACACACACACACACTGAAAAATATGGCACCACATGCTAATGCACACACATCTCCATTGTTCTATTGTTCTTCTTCATTCAGCAGAACCCCTCGTAGTGTTTACATAAATGACTCAAAGGTTTTTCCTTGTAAAACAAGTATTTTGAGGAGCTTTAATATATGTAATGGTACAAATGTAAACACACACCATTTTTCCTCCACAGAGCATACAACGTTTATTGTATTTAACTGGCAGACAGAGAAAGAGTGTTATTGAAGGGTATCAGGTATGACATAATAAAACAAGTTCAGTTTTCAGCCTCCTGTGACATTTCTCAAGACAACAAAAGAAAAGTGACACTTAATAAAAATAATTACATGAATCAATGTCAAGAGGAGAAAAGACAGGTTTGACATCATTCGGGGTGGATTTGTGGAAGGCCTTCAGACATTTTAGACATAACCTTTGACTTGTGTGGCAGGTGCCCTGCGTGGACTGCTCTCTCCACTGCTGAAAGTGGGAGAGCCTGGGATTCCGGGAGGACTTGACCCCGCATAGAGCAGTGACCCCCAATTAGAAGCAAGGCTGATGCCCCCAGCCGATGTAAAGGGCAGGGCCGAGCTCACGCTTGTGTGGAGCTGCCACATGTGGATCATAGAAATCCCTGATGATGGAGTGGGCAGTCCAGCAGACGGGCACAAGGTAAAGAAACCCCGCGATGGCAAAAAGGGAGCCAGAAATGCGAGCAATGCGGGCTTTAAGGCTGTTTACGCCGATGCATTTAGTGCACTTGACTCCTAGGACCCCCAGAGCCAGAGCCAGGCCACAGAGCAGGATGGACAACACAGTGAGGCCGCGGGCGGCCTGCATGTCGCTGGGCAGAGCCAGCAAGCTATCGTACACCTTACACTGGATCTCACCTGTGCTCTGCACTATGCAATTCATCCAAAGGCCTTCCCAAATGATCTGAGCTGTCACTATGTTGTTACCGATGAAGGCGGTGACCGCCACAGGGGATGGCACAAACTACTAACCCACCCACCCAGCCCACGATGGAAAGGATCAGACCCAGCAACTGCATGCCCGTGGTAGCCATGGCGAAAGACAGATGGACTTGTCTCTGATATATTAGTCTCTGCACAGGCCAAACTTATAGTCCCACAAAGAAATGTGACAGTCTATATTGCTCGAAATGCCGTGGTCCACTCCGCCGTCTGTGGATGATGGCGTCGATGAGGTCAGTTTGATGTGGATTGATATCCTAAAATTAACAAAACATAAAATAGTCGCACCAGCCGGGTTATTCTCTTAGTAATCAAACAAGCAGTGCAAGAAAACGCTCAGAGACACACTGGATATTACATCACATGCTGTTGTTATTTACCACAACAACCACTAGCATAACATTAGTAAAGTATGAAAAGACTATTGGAGCATATAGTTATCATAAATA